TGCATGACTATGGGTGAATAGCTTAATTCCGCTGTGCCTCATCTCTGAAAGAGATAATAATACCTGTAGTACTTACCTTATAACATTGTTGTAAGGCCCAAATGAAATAATATACATAAAACCCTTTACAACTTTAAAGTGCAATATAAATAAAATAAATATATTAATATATGATATAAATGTAACATTTATATTTTATTTATATATTTTTATTATTACAGTGAAGTTAATGTGAAGATAAAGTCAGATAATATTTTTAAAGTGCTCTGTAAACCTTAAATACTGGTTATTATTATCTTTCCCATTTTATAGATCAGTAAAGTGAGGCCAGACAGAGGTTAAGTGACTTGCCTAGGCTCACACAGCTAGTAAGTGTCTGAGGCAGCATTTGAACCCAGGTCTTCCTGACTCCAGGTCTTGCGCTCTGGCCACTGTGCTACCTACCTAGCTGATGATGTCATGCTATTGTTATACACTGCTGTGTTTGCCCTATGTCTTAGGTTACCCTCTGGGCCAACAATTCCATTCCTTCCCCTTCCCCACCCTGCTGCGGTCTGTACCAGCCTAGGTCTTAATGCACAGTCTGGGTTCAACTCTTATCCCTACTATTAATTCCCTTTGTAACCTTGGCAAAGACCCTTTACCTCTGTAGATGAGTTTCCTAATCCATAAAATGAGGGATTGGGCAGCCTTTACTCAAGATGAGTCTTTGTGAGTTCAAATCTGATCTCAGACACTTGTACTAGCTGTGTGACCCTGGGCAAGTCACTTAACCCTGTTTGCCTCCATTTCATCAACCATAAAATGAGCTGGAGAAGGAAATGGCAAACCACTTCAGTATCTTTGCCAAGAAAACCCCAAACAGGGTCACCCTAAAGAGTCAGACACAACTGGAAAATGACTAAACAAAATAAAATGTTTAACTAGATAATCTGAGGTCCCTTCCATCACTAAATATATTATCTTATTAAGCTCAGCTTTGCACTTGGCTCTGATACATACAAGTTCATTCACTTTCACCCTCAAACATATTCTTTGCAGTCACAAACTGATTCACTTCCCCCTCCCCCCCATATATTTAACTTAATTGGTTTTTATTATGAATGTATGTTTAACTGCCAAGTAACAAATAGTCCCCCATATACCCACTGAATCAACTTTGCAACATTCTCCCTCTTTTCACACTCCCTGATCACAGCTCAAAACTTTCACCACAAACATTATCATTCTGTCAAAAGCCAAACTCACTCCTTCATTATTCCCAAGCCTATCTCTATTTATTCACTTGACCAAATACCAGCTCTAAGGTAGTTTCCTGATGCTGTTAAATAAGCCCTCAAGATTTCCCTCCTCTCGGAGCTTCTAAGGCATAGCTAAGCCTTTCTTCTCCTTTTGGTCTAATTGGTCCTCATCTTCTGACACATGCTGACAGAGGTTATCTACTATGTAATATAATTTTTCCTGTATTTTTGCTGTATTTTTCTAGTTGATGTGGTTTCCTGGTTTCCTAATTGCATCTTCTCTCACTTGCTGCAATCACTAGGTCTGTTTCAAGTATCTTCTACCAGTTTCTCATCTGCGCTTCCCTTAAATAGCAAAGCTTATTATGTCAAGAACCTTTAATTTTCTACACAAGTCTTAGTCAATAAGTAGACCACAGCCTAAGGGAGTATTCATATGTCTCTTACAAAGTAAAGTGCATGGGCTTTGTAATAGGCTTTTCCTTCACTGCTCAGAGGCTTCTTTTCATTTCCAGTTGGTTCTTTTCAGGATGATTCAGATGGTCACAAATCTAATTGCTAAATTTAATCAATCGTGAGTCTTTTATACTGTTTCTGGGTGGGGGTGGGGAGAGGTGTGATTTTAAAATGTTAGTCAGTTTTTACCTAATTCAACCTAGGACAAACCAGGTTGTCTCAAGGCTTCTTTGCCAACATAGACATTGGCCACTTTTACATAGCAGTATCTTGTAAGCTAGTCACTTTGTGTACCATGTAAACATTTCATAATGTATATATTTGATATTTAGTTTTCCTCTTGTTTTTTACATATAGCTATATACAACAGTATTATTTGTCCTATGTGATAAGCTCCTTGAGAACACAGAACACGATTTGATTGTCTACTTTATACATCATCTACATATATAGATGGGTGCTTTTTAAAATGGTATTGAGTCATTGGGGTGGGGGGTGTGGAGATTATAAGAGTAAATAAATTTGCATCTATACATGAATAAGCAGTTTTTTCCTTCATGCCCCTCTACTCCATTCCCAGTATTGTGTTTTGTTGAAATAAATATAAGAGGTGATGTGGCCCAGTTGATAGCTAGCTGGACTTGGAATCAAGGACTAGATTTAATTCTTGACTATGCCCCATGTTGTCTGTATTACCTTGGGCAAGTCGCCTAGTTTCTCTTAACCTCAGTTTCTTCATCTGCAGTATGAGGCTCAAACAAGGTAATACATTTGAGAGCTCTGTGTGAACCTTCTGGTGGTATAGGAAGAACTCCTTGAATGCAGGGACTATTTTATTTTTAACTTGGTCTACCCAATGCCTCACATTCTGCTTTCAACATAGTAAGAGCGAAAATAAAGGTGTTCATTAATTAACCAGACTCTCAATCCAGGATGATTCTTCATAAAGAATAAGGAATAAGGTTCATCCATGAATTAAGTTATATCAGAACGGTGTTTATGGAGGAATATTATTCTCTAATATTCTTTATTAATGCAGCCTTCAACTCCTACTCATTGGTGAACACAATCTCTATTAGTAGGTTAAATGTTTATTTGTTCTGTGCTTTGAATCATTTCTATATGATGCAATCCTGTGGGAATAATTTAGAAATAGAAATGCTTGATATCTTCTATGATTTCTACTGCCTTGTTAAATTTCCATACTGATGTGCCCCCACTTTTATCTCATGAATATTTATACCTATTCCTTGCTTGAAGGATCTCAGACACAAATACCAGGATTTTTTTATCCATTGCTCATCAAGTTTTGACAATAATTCCAGTTCATAATACTCTTTAAATGGTAAAGTAAGTTCCTAGCATATTGTCAAAATTGCTGAGCCATCTGGTCCTCAAATCAGAAGAATTGAGAGTGGGATAGCCTAGTGATGCTAACTCAACAAATCTAAGGAAAAAGTTCTTTGAAAGGTTTAAAAGATATCTAATGACAGATCTTAAAGATATCTAATCTCTGAGATAAAATAGTATCCTATACTGTATAGGGCCTATAAGAGTTATATGGCTGTTTCAGGGTTTTGCATGTGCCCAGCTCCACTGATTACCACTGGGATAGCATATGGCGAGCACAAGATTCTGTGGAATGAAAACAATCACTGTAAAGTCTCTGCGCAAAACCAATAGTGCACATATTTGGAGGTGAGTGGTGCCACTGGGCACATCACTGGAGAAGACAAAAGTGAGTTAGGAAAATTAGACAGAAACAGTCAACTTCCTGTGCCCAGGAGAGGAAATCATCACCACCTGCCCAGATGTTTGATTACTCTCACCAGATTGAGCTGTAGTGGCCAAAGGGAATGTGCACATATGAGAAGAGGAGGTTCCTGGGAGAAAATTATGTACAGGTGAGAAGGGAGGATGTAAAATAGTTATCATACTACTATAGATTTAGAGCTGGAAGGGACTTTAGAGGCCATAGAGTTTAGGCCCCCTCATTTTACAGATGAGGAAACTGAGGCTAAGAGGTTAAATTACTTACCCAGCTAGTAAGTTTCTGAGACAGGATTGTGATAGACACAGAGGCCCATGAATATCGCTTCATTTGATTTTAGAGGAAAAAAAGTTATCTTACCAAAAATCACAAGGTCTACACTTACCACTAGCATTTTCCTTTTGAAGCAATGTGGTGTAATGGAAAGAGTGGTAGACTGTGAGTAACTAGTCACATTGTTTTTGTTTATTTGGGTGAGGAGGAGTAAATTTTGGCATAGGACATCTGGCTTAGGTAAAAGCTTTTCTGATAGTAAATATTGAAATGTGTTGATTAGAGTGATTTTTAAGACTCTCCTGTCCAACTATCTTTAAAAACCATGTCTGATGTTTCTTTCATCCTTGTGATTCTCTGACATCATTATTTAAAATTACACAATGAGTGTCTTGCATAGGCCCATGTTTAAATAAAGAATTCCATACCTTATAAGGTTTGGATTGTATCATGTAGATCAGAATTCGATAGATAAATCTGGTGTGAATCACAATGTTGTTACCAATGTCCCTTTGGCATGATCTTTGATGCTCTTTTCTGAATATGAAAAGAGTCTTCTCAAGCTTTTTATTTCTGTATTTAACCTTGGATGCAGGAGAAGGATGGGGGAAGTATCAAGAAGGGGTTCTAGATCTATTGTCATCAAGGTAAGGAACTTGAAATTGTGAGTATAGAAACGTCTTCCATTGATGCAGGTCTGCAACTTTTGAGTAACTTAAAATCTTAGAAATTTGCCTGCAGCACTAAGTGGTACCCAGGCACCTAGTGGTACAATGGATAGAACACTGGGCCTAGAGTCAGAAAAACCTGAGTACAAATCCAGCCTACATTTATTTAACTATATGACGTGGGCAAGTCACTTAACCACTTTTTGCTTCCATTTCCTCAACTATGAGATAGAGATAATAGTACCTCACAGAATCAAATGAGTATCAAAAGAGATAATATTTGTAAAGCTCTTAACATGGTGTTTGACACATAGTAAGTGCTTAATGATTCCTTCCTTCCTTCCACAGAGAGATAGTAGATGCAGGTCTACTGTCGAACCCAGGTCTTCCTAAATCCAAAGGCAATCTTCTATCTACTATACCATGATACCAAATATATAGCCAGATTAAAACATGTAGCTTGTATAAATAGATCTCTGTTTCACATCTAAAGGTAGAATAAGTGAATTTAATCCAGCAAAAACTGTCATCAGAATTAATAAGACATCATATCCTATTTTAGTCACATTTTTCCATTGTCATCTCTTGCAGGTCCTGATTATATCAAACAGAGATTTCAGGAAGGCATAGAAACTAAAGAAAATCCAGAAGAAAAAGTCCCAGAAAAGCCACCTTCACCAAAGGAATCTCCTCATTTTTATCGGAAAGGCACAACTCCCCCCAGGTCCCCTGAGCCAAGCCCAAAATCAAGCCACTCTCCTCAGCCTTCCTCCCCAGTGAAAAAGCAAAACCCCAGCTCAGGGGCAAGACTCAATCAAGAAAACAAGGGCATAGCCGATGAGTATGTAACTGCAGTTGTCAACAAGCCCCTACTTTCAAAGCTACCCCCAAAGGAGGAGGTAACAGCATTGCCGCAGTCCAAGTACTCTGGCCGCCACAATACCTCCTTCCACCCTGGTAATGGGGAGTTGCATTCACAGTATCATGGCTATTATGTGAAACTGAATGCACCACAGCAACCACCAGAAGACAAGGAGGAAGATGGAGGTGTGAGCCAGTCTTCTTTGGCACTGGTGCCCAAGCAACCACATCAGAAGTCAAGTCCCCTTAAGTCCACGACAAAACTAGCTGCCAAAGAAAGCAAATCTGAGCCAAAAATGAAGAAGTCTGAACTTGCCACACCAAAGAATCCAGCAAACAATGATTCATGTTCTTCTTTGGAAAAAGAAGATAATTCGGTGAGTTTTATAGGAAACTTCTCCCTCTTTCCTAGTACGTACTCTTAGGGGATTTTCCTTTCTGTTAGCAATGTGGGATGGTTATTAGCCAAGAGGTCATTGAATTAAATAAGCCAAGGAATAAATGTCCTCAGAATTGCTTCTAAAATTTAGTATGTTAGTTTGAAACCAAGGATTTTCAACTCAGAAATCTTCTAATATTCCTTTTCCAGTCAAGTTAAAATAACCCAGAAAACTAATGGCCACCTGCCCCTTTTTTTTTTTAACCTTTATTGTTTTGCAGCATTAGGAGCAACTTTTTAAGTGCTAGGAAGGAATTGTAGCTCTTTCTCCCTGGCTGCTGTTAATACCTGCTATTTGTAAAACACTGTGATAGGCTTAGAAGAGAAAAAGAAATGATACATACAGAAGCTGCTTTCAAGAGGCTTAAAATCTAGTAGGGAGTAAAAGACATGTGCACTAAAGACACTTATACCAGAGAGAGTCTGGTAAGTACAAAAGAGCAGTGTGCTTTGAGAAATTTGAGGGAGAGATGACTTTCTTCTGGGGTTCCCAGGAAAAGCTATAAGAAGGAAATGTTGTCTAGGTTAGACCTTGAAAAAAGGGAACTTCAGACAGATATGATAGATATGGAATTCATTCTAAAGGACAGTGTGAAAAAAATGACTGAGAAGGGAGAAAGCAAGATGGGAATAGTCCCTGAGCCTTGGCTGGTTTTCCTGGAAAGTACACAAAGAAAGGCAGATTGGAAGTCAGTTGTAGAGGGCTATAAATTCTAAGATCAACTTATACTTTGTTCTCTAGGCAATGGGGAGCCACTGAAGGATTTTTTTTTAATGTGTTTCTTTTTCTTTTTCAACTAGAAAACTGATATGATCAGTCATGACGAAGATTATACAGTAAGTGGTGTGAAGGATAGTTTGGAGATCAGTTAGGAGACTGGTACAGTGGAAAAGGGATGAAGGCCTGCCTGAACTAGCATCATTTCAGTGGTAGTTAGAATAAAGAGATGATTGTGAGAGAGATGGGGGAGATAGAATCAATAGAACTTGATAATTTGTTGAACATGAAGACCAAAGGAGAGAAGGAAAAGTTAAAGATGACTATGAGATTACCAGGATGCATGACTGGGAGGTAATATCAACAGGAATATAGAAGTTGGAAGAAGGGCAGGTTTTGGGGAGAAGATAGAATTCAGTTTGGGGTATATTGAGTTTGCAGTGCCATCAATTCATGTCGGTAGAAATATCCAGCAGGCAGTTGGAAAGATGGATATTGATCTCTGGGGAAACCTTGGCAGTGAAGGTAAAGATTTAGGGGTCACATGCATAAATGTGATCATTTAAACCTTTGGAAGTTAACGAGCCCAGCTAGGAAAAGAACAGGACCTATGACAGAAGCTCCTCCTCCTCCCACCTCCCCACCTCCATGTTGAAGAATGGTAGGGAGGGCCATATGGGAATATTGTATCACAAAATCAACTAAGCGAAAAAGTATCAAGAAGGAGGAGAGTGATCAACAGTGTCAAATGCATTAGATCAGTCAAAGATAATGAGAACAGAAAGCCATAGATTTGGCATTAAAGAGGCGATTACTTTGAAGACAGCACTGTCAGAAGAATGGCAAGGATAGAAGCCAGATTGCCAAAGGGTAATGCTCCTAGACCTTCCTTTGGTACTAGCTAGTCAGCATCCTTACACAAGTAAACACCCATAGGACCTCTTTAGTCCTCAGTTTCCTCATCTCTAAAATGAGAGTTATCCTAGCCTATTGGCTAGAAGGTTAGCCGTATAGTCAGGAAGATCTAACATTAGCTGTGTGAGTATAGGCAATTCACTTCAGTGCCCCTAGACAAGTCTCTGAGTCTCTAAGTTATAGATGGGCTCTATCAGGGCTACATCAATCCACCAATAATTATTCATGTCAATGAAATCACAAGTCCAAATCCCCTAACCCCTACTCCCCAAAACCAAAATATGAGGGGGTAGAGGAGTTTATTGCTTCAATATTACGTGATTTTTTTTTAGAACCAGGTATTTAACTGAACATATTTTACATGACTAGTGTTGTCCTGTGTATAATGTTGCCTTCATGTGTATTTGAATTCAATTTGATGAACAAAGCTTTGCTGCCAGAACACCTTTCCTCACTACCAGCTTCCTATGTAGTGACTAAAAAATTCCAGCATTTTACAAAAGAACTTCGTCCATGCAAGGAAAATGTTGTACTAGAATGTTCTTAGACAGCCAAGTTTTCTAGGATGATTTTGTTACCTGTTGTTTCTATTTTATTTGTTTATATTATTATCTAATTTATTAATTATTATCTATTATCTATTTTATTTATCAAATAAATTTTATTTATTATCACTATTATTATAATTTAATATATGTCAACACAAGATCTGTTATTATTCCCTATGATTGTGTTGCTGGCAAATTCTAAATTTTCATCTACATGTGACTGATTCTCCTACATGGCTTGTGGAACCTGTCTCTTTAATATATACTGATATCTGGTACACATTGACAATGAAGAAAGTGTGTTCCCAAACTCAGCAGTACTTATAGATTCTGCAGCTGCAGTTAGTGATTGATCAAAATCTGTGCAGCAATTACAAAGCAGTCCAAATGCCTTGTGGGTGGAATAACTGAATTTCAGATTTAGCTTAAGAAAGAGACTAACAATTTCAAAATGACATTTTTTTATTCAGATTTGGAATAGTTTAACTGACAAAAATGACAGTCTGACTATGACCTTGATATAATGATAAAATAGTTGAAGTTCATTAGTTGAAATTAAAATATTTGAAGTCTATTCCCTTGAGTCTCTTTTTAAGACTATTACAAATATTTATGACATATTAGTTACCATTGTTATAAATCTAGTTTATTTTCTCTAGATAGATGTTTTTTTAAATTGCCAAAAATAAATTAACCAGATGAACTGTATCATCTCCAAAAATGTCATCCTGCAATAGAGTAAATGATGTGCTAGAACACTGAGTGTTTAATGATGTATCAGTAGGATGGTATATGTTGACAATGTCATTGAATTTGTTAAACATAATTTACCTATCATTTGTTTTTCAGCATTTATATCCATATATTGGTTATTCTTCAAGGGCTCCTGAGTAATGTACACATAAAAAAAATTTCTTTGTATACCATGGGTGAAAGTCATTCCTATTCCTTAGCTCTCTTTAAAAAGTGGCATTAGACTTTAATTTAGCTACGTGGTTTAACAGAGGACCAAGATCAAAGTGAGTAATGGTTAGAGAGGGCAGATTTCAACACAATAGTTGTCTTAAAATGAAATAGGTTACAAAAGTTGCACCCCTTAAATGATGAACTCCTTATCAATGGCCACAATCAAGTAGAAGTTGGATGAACATTTATTGAGAATATTGTAGATGGGATTTACATATCAAATAGGGGACTAGAATAAATGATTATAAGTATTGACTATGTATTTTATTCAAAATAATGTGGTAGATGGGGTACTAGTCTTGGAGTCAGTTAGATGGGCTTCAGATCTCATGAGCTATGACACTATGGTTAAATCCTTCAATCTCCTAGAGTCTCAGTTCATCTGTGAAATATGGATCATAGCTATGGTTCTTACCTCACAGAGCAAGTGTAAGGCTCAAATGAGATAATATGTGTGTACAGTGCCTGGCACATAATAAATGTTTATTGACTGACAGTCCTTTGTAAACTTAAAAACCCTATATAATGTTGATTATTAATAGTCTCAGGAGACTATTAATGACTCAGGAGACAGGTTCTAATTCTGTCATTACCATAATTTACTGTGAGTTTAGAGTAAATTATATTATAGCTGTCCATAGTATCCTTTCTGTAAAATGACTTTGTTAGTTGTAGAAGGTGAAGGCACACCCATCTTAGATGAAGAAAAGGTCTGGTTGACTTTGAAAGATTATCCCTCAATATTATAACACATTCCTTGCTCTGATTCATTGTATTACTCAATGAGTAGGTTGTGTTTTGGATTCCTGATGCCAAATCCTTGGTTACAGAATTCTCCTCTGCATTAGGCTCCCTGATTCCAATAGCAATTGGCAATAATCCTTCATGAGGTATATTTTATGTATAAAGATTTTTTTGTGTGTTATATGTTGTTATCTTTGGAAATTGGAGCTTCTAGTCACACTCTCAGTAACTGTTTTTGCTCCTAAATAGCCATTTAATACCAGTATCTAAAACTTGGTGTGTTTTAATATTAAAACATACAATACCCCTAATAAACTATGCTAACAAATCAACCTGTCTCTCAGATTTTCTGTGTCTGAGATATGAGAATTATCTAGAGTATTTAGAGAGGACTTAGGATAGTATTGTACAAAGCAATACTCACCATAAATTTGAGAAGGAAAAACTCTATCTAGTTTTGCTACAGTTCTCTCTACATAAAGATTTCAAATTTATAGCAATATGAATTCACAGCATGGTCCAGTAATGTCTATCTTTCTCTGGACACTGGGAAAATGGACAGAATAAAAACCAAAACGTTTAACCTGAAAATTAGTGTTTTTGGTGGGCCTACTGAAAACACTACTCCCAGACATGAGAAAGACTAAAGCAAACTGAAGTGGAACTTGGCAATAATTTTTGGTAATTGTACCAGTTCTACAAAAAAATCCTAAGGAATACCTCAGTTCTGCAGTAACACGATCCATCTGGAGGGTGAACCTAGGGTCCTCTCTAAATATCCTAGCTAATTCTCATATCTTAGACACAGGAAATCTGGGACACAGGTTGACTGTTAGCACAGTTTGTTAAGGGAAATATATGTGTTGGGGAAGGGATGAGAAGTCGGAAATTACCCATGAGAATTGTATATTATATGAATATGTGACTGTACATGTGTAACATTATTCCACAACTGCACATTTCCATTTGATACACAAATTCATGGGATTTTTCAACATAATGACTTTGGTATGGGCCACTAGAAACAGATTTAAGCTACTGTCTCAC